ATGTATATCTTTTAAAAAATTGGCAAATTCATTATCACATTTGTTAGCATCACTGGTGTTCTCATAAGAATATTATTTCAGTATTGGGAAATTGTCAAGTTCATGATACCAGACCTATATTTTCCAAAATTCTAATTTTTCCTTGAAAGCTTAAAACGTATCATTGCAACAAATATTGTCAGTTGTTTTATTTGAAATGATAGGTTCACTTCACTTATTTGGGGGGGGGAAAGTCTGTCAGAACGTGTCTGAATAATTATAGTATGCCACTTGTGTTTTCAGGTAAAAATGGTGCTCCACTAAAAAAGCAGCTAGTTGCTGCTTCAGAAGCAGTTGCACAAGGGCTTTTACTGGACACAGCCACATACTTCAGAATGTAGCAGAAATGTTTTATCTCTATCTCTCCTTTTGTCATATTCACTATTAAAGAGAAATTTATGCAGAGGTTGAGCTTAATTAAACTAATTTTACTACTTCATCAAGAACACTGTTAGGTAAAATTCAGTGTTTTTCTTTTTTACAGAATTATGAGTACATGATGATAGAGAATACAATGACTCCTACACTACTGATATAATTTAGTGCTACTATCCTAATTCATGTTAAGGTGTCAGCAGTTTTACCATCACTGATTTTGCACTATCAGTGTACATATCAACCAAGTGAAAAAGGCAAATTATGTCTTAGTATTATGAAATAGTTTTGACCTCGTTGTCCTCTGAAAGGTCTTTATAGCTGTTTTTGGTTTCACAAATCATGTTTTGAGAACAGTTGACTTAAGGAACAAGGGGGCTGGAGGGAAATGTATCAATGTGTCAAATTCTCCCTAATATCCTGACATAGGCTAATAGAATGAAGACTTCACATCAAGCCCGTTAAAAGAGAGGGCTATTTATTTGGATTGATCAATCCTCCATCCCAGTGATCCCAAGTTCTTGTTCCCAGAACTTGATCAATCCTCCATCCCAGTGATCCCAGTTCTTGATCCAGGCATCTTCCATTTAGACAGATATTTTTGGAATAGGTGTGATGGTTGTGAACCTTTAACCATTGATTCACGATATCTGGGTCTCCTAATGTAGTTGAAGGGAGAAACCAGATGTTTTTGAATTTTATCTCATCCTTCAAACACAGTGCTTACTGCCGAGGGTTCAAATTTTACCCCAAGCTTCATCATTTTCTTGTGTTATCTTTCCTTTTCTGTCATCTAGTGCAGGGGTCTGCTGCATATTTTTCCTTCTCCCCACAGACTTACTTTAGAAGCAGGCAGGCTTATTTTTGCATTATTTACTTATAAAATCTGCTTTATAGAGACAGGGAGTAATTCTTGTTGACTCAACTATTTTATCTTGCTTAGTGAGATAAAGTTCAGTAACACCCAAAGCTAAAACATTTTTGTGGTCAGCAGTTACTGACTGGTACAAAGTTATTACTTTTATGTACTTATCACAGTACTTTCAGTTCATGAACCGCTGACATTTGTTTCTCTTATCCCAAGTTAAGAAAATCGCACACAAACCTGTAAGAACTCTGCTTGGTATGGTAAATAAAGTTGAGATTTAATTTCTAGAGGCTAGATAATGCCTCTTTATCCAAAGCATGATGCTCCTTACTGATATTTTCCAACCTTTGTATACTCTTACTAACAGATACTAGTTTTTTGTACCAGTTTCCATCTTTATTTTGTGTTTTTTTTTTGTATTTAAATGTATTTCATTTTTGTCTCATCTGCTGTTATTTCTTGCTGATTGCAATTTATTGATCCCTATTAACCACTGTAATTTTTTTTAAATGTGGTATTGTATGAGCAACTAAATAAACATCTAACAATGACTTCTCATATGCTACTCTGTTCAATTTCTCCCTTAATTCCAATTTTTCCTTCTGAAGGAAATTTTATATGGCACAATGAGTCTGGTGCTGTGTCTTTGATACTAATGTATAAAGATCTGTACACAAGACCATGATTGTCACAGCTCTGTGATAACCAAAATAGGCAATGGCATTTTGGAGATACTAGAAAAATTAGTATACTTCAGGAAAATTAACCCATGGAACATGAAATCCTCCTAGTCATAAGTCATAGAATGCTATTTCTTTCCTGTGAGAATTAGTAGAGAATACTGGTACATTTAGACAATTGATTATAAGCAATGTATGCTGAAGGACACTGCAAAGAATATGTGCATTTTGTACTAAGGAAGAATGAATAATGCTCTTACGAACTATATATTTTCTTAGAGATTCAGAGATTTGCTTTAAAGATTTCAAGGTTTAATTAGAACTCTTCTAGTATAAAACCAAATTAATTTTAACTTTTAAAAGTTTCTGCATTGAAGAAGATATATACCTAGGTTGAGGAAATCCTATAATAATTTTGAAGTAAGGATGATACCATTACTTGAGGAAGTAGCAGGCATGGACAGCACATGGAGAGATAGTCTCTTTCCTGAATCTCTTTCTTGTATTTCCTTTCCTATTTCCTCTACACTGCCAGTCTCATTACATGGCAAGTGGGTTTTAGAATATAGTTAGTGAAGGATGGAATTTGGAATATAGCATGGAATTTGGGAGAGGAAAAGCAACTATCGTAAGTAAAAATAACAAACCCTCCTATGAGTGTAAGAGTCTTTTCTAGATATCATTCATACATGAGAAACTTGAAGAATTCATATGTAAATCTAGGAGTGCCTGAAAGGTATTGGCCTTTTTCTTTCATTCCATTTTTGAGTAATCAATAATATTTTAATGAGAAATTAACAAAGCGTACACAATCTTACTTTATTCTTTCAAGATATGTTGTATAAATATGTATGATATGTATCAAATCTTCATATTAATATAGAAATCCAGTGATTACTTTTACGTTTTGCCATTAGTGTTGCTATTGTGCATAGTTGCCTTAAAGCTTGTTTATGAAAGATTTAGAACAAATATTCTATTTTAAAAAGTGATTCTTTCTTGGCTTGCTAGAATAAAATGTTCCCTCTTCTCACCCATTGTTCAGAGAAGTTTTCAGATTATTTCTTTTCCCCAGATGTCAGAAGATCAGGGAAAATCCCAGGTATTAAAATGTTAGTCTTAAAAAATTCTGCTCGAGGGGCCTGGGTGGCTTAGTTGGTTAAGCGTCCGACTTCAGCTCAGGTCATGATCTTGTGGTCCATGGGTTCAAGCCCCGCATCGGACTCTGTGCTGACAGCTCAGAGCCTGGAGCCTGTTTTAGATTCTGTGTCTGTCTCTCTCTCTGCCCCTCCCCAGCTTGTGCTCTCTCTGTCTCTGTCTCAAAAATAAATATATGTTAAAATTTTTTTTAAAAAATTCTGCTCTAAGCATCTGAGTAAGTGCTTAATACACTTCTAATTTGTTACAGTAAGGTTTTTTTTAGATTTCAGATTATTCACAATTTTTAAACAGCTTTATTTAGTTGTATATTACAAATCATAAATTGTACCCATTTTAAGTGTACAATTTGATGATTTTTAGTAAATTTAAATAGTTGTAAGGCCATCAGCAAAATTGAGTTTTACAGTCTTTCTGTAAACCCAGAAAGAATCCCTGTGCCCATTTTCAGCAAATCCTCATTCCCACTTTCAGATTTATAGACTAAATCTATACTTGTCTTAATTTTTTTTTCCTTCTGGACCATTCATATACATAGTCACACACTATGTGGTCTTGCATCTGACTTCTTTAGCTTAGCATGTTTCTGAGGTTCATCCATGTTGTAGAACCCCATTAGTAGCATCTTCTTTTTTATTACAGAGCAGTATTCCATTGCATGGATATACCACATTTTGTATAGACATTTTTATCAATTGATGGACATTTGAATTGTGGTCACATTTTGGCTACTATGAATAATGTTTCTGTGAACATTCATATGCAAATCCTTGTACGGACATAGATTTTTATTTATTCTGGGTAAGTGCTTAGGAATGGAATTGCTGGATCAAATGATAAATTTATGTTTAACTTTTTAAGAAACTGCTAAGAAGTTTCCAAAGTAACTGCACCACTTTGCATTACTACTAGCATGTAAAAAAGTTCCAGTTTTCTGTATTATTGCCAACACTTATTAGTATATCTTTTTTATTATAGCCATTCTAGTGGGTATTAAATGACCCCCTCATTGCGGTTTAAATTTACATGTCTCAAATGACTAATGATATTGAGCATCTTTTTATGTGTTTATTAGACATTCATAAATATTTTTTAAATGTCAGTTTAAATATTATCAAGTGACTGCAAGTTAACAATAAGGTGGAGGTTCTTGTTGAATTCACCTTTTAAATCTTCTTGGTGGTCATCACCTCAGGCTTTTCATGATAAAATGCTACTTTGCTCTTCCATGAGATAAATGAACCTTTTGAATACATATGCTCTCTTCTGCTTACACCGGTTTGGAAGAGCTCCTAGCCCATATTTCCCACTTGCCATATTTTCCTGCAAGACTGACTTTCTTTTGAACATTTGTAGACAAAAAGGCATATATGCATTTCCAAAAGTGGAATGGTGTAGCACAGAGAGTTCCAATACTACACAGTGATTATTTTGTTAGTAATTAGTAGCCCTATATAAAATCTGAATTGAAATTATTTACATGTAGACTTACCAGCTGACCTCCTTGACTGAGTCCTCTGCTTGGCTAGACCTATGATGTATACAAGACTTACACATATAAGTTGAGGACTTGATCCTGAATACTCTTGACTTGCTTTTCAAGTTCCTGATTCATAAAACTTTTATTCTGATTGCAATAAATAAGACAAGAACATATTAATATTTTTCAAGAATGAAATCACCACTTTTTTTTTGCATATTTTGATGCCTGTAACCACATACCAGAAATACTAATTTAATGTTTACAAAAGAAGTTAGCATAATTTTGGCAAGTTTTTGTTAGATAATATTTCAAAATTTCTCCACATATATACATATCACATATAAAGACATTTCACCCTCGGTCCCCTTTTTTGTGGAATCTGAGTGAGCCCTCACAGAGTTCGCTTCCCCGCTCTAAAACCGGATCACCATGGCAACCAGACTGAAATTGATGAAAGCAATTAGAGTTTTTGAATTTGGTGGACCGGAAGTGCTGAAACTCCAGTCAGACGTGGCAGTACCAACTCCAAAAGACCATCAGGTTTTAATCAAGGTCCATGCATGTGGTGTAAACCCAGTGGAAACATATATTCGTTCTGGTACTTACAGGAAAAAACCACACTTACCCTATACTCCTGGTTCAGATGTGGCTGGGGTAATAGAAGCTGTTGGGGACAATGTATCTTTCAAGGAAGGTGATAGAGTTTTCACTACTAACACCATCTCTGGGGGCTATGCCGAGTATGCTCTTGCAGCAGATCACACTGTTTACCCACTGCCAGAAAAACTGGACTTTAAACAAGGAGCTGCCATCGGTATCCCATATTTTACCGCTTATCGCGCTCTGCTCCACAGCGCCCGTGTCAAAGCTGGAGAAAGTGTTCTGGTACATGGGGCTAGTGGAGGAGTTGGACTGGCAGCATGTCAGATTGCTAGAGCTTATGGTTTAGAGGTTCTGGGCACAGCTGGTACTGAGGAAGGACAAAACATCGTTTTGCAAAATGGAGCCCATAAAGTGTTTAACCACAGAGAACGTAATTATTTTGATAAAATTAAGAAATCCGTTGGTGAAAAAGGAATTGATGTGATCATTGAAATGTTAGCTAATGTAAATCTTAATAATGATTTGAAACTTCTATCACAAGGAGGGCGAGTAATAGTTGTGGGCAGCAGAGGTCCTATTGAGATAAGCCCACGGGACACCATGACAATGGAATCTAGTATAATTGGGGTTTCTCTCTACTCATCAACTAAGGGGGAATTTAGGCAATATGCAGCAGCCCTTCAAGCTGGAATGGAAATTGGTTGGCTGAAACCTGTAATAGGTTCTCAGTATTCATTGGAGAAGGTGGCCCAAGCTCATGAAAATATCATCCATAGCAGCGGGGCTACTGGGAAAATGATTCTTCTCTTAGAATAATTAAGTCTTTCATGTATTTCTTGTGCAGCTAGAAGTTTCCTGCCCCAGTTTTACTTCTACTACTTTCGCTCTAATTAGCATTCATTTGATTTAGTGAGTTTCTTATATTGAAAAACAAGATTTATCTTTAGGAATCTGGGCATTGGAGTACAATTTATTTTATAGCTCACAATATACTTTAGGCCTCCCACTGACCTCTAATCAAGGAGTCCTCATAGTGGGAAGTAGAATGTTAGTAGCCATTTGGCATTGGGTACATTACAGAAATTCCCGGTACTTGATCATTAATTCCATACCTTGGACTAAAGCAAGCAAATTCAAAATAAGACTGCATGATTTCCAAGCCTACTTGTGCTTGTAAAGGTTCTTCAGTATCTGTTTAGCCCAGAGCTATATTAGACTATGAAGATTTCCTAGATTAAACAAGACCCCTTTTCCAAACTAATCTCATCAGCATGGTAAACAATGTCCAGAGAAATCTGTTTCTAAAAAATTAGTTTTCTAATGTTTCTCCAAATATTAAAACATTCACTATGTTAATGGTTGATTACTAATTACCCATATATTCTGTGAAGATAGCAGCCTTATTTTTGTTATAATGTGACAGTAGGTCCATAGTCTTTCCAGATAGATATTTCTTGATGATTTGATTTGCAAAGTAGATGTAGAATTATCTGTGTGATGGGAGTCATATATTTTTCTTTAAATTACTAAACAAATCTGACATATTAAGAGTGATCAGCTTTTGTTTTCACAACATGGTAACTTGCAGTAAATTCTGTAGAAAAAAAATAAACTGTTTATCTCATCTTTATATAATACTTGCCTTACATCACATCTCTTTTACATTGTTCCTAATGTTAATTCCTAACAGTGTTCTGTGTTGGAAGTCTTTATCTAAACTAAATAAATGTCATCAATGTTATATGCAAAAAAAAAAAAAAAAAAAAAGACATTTCACCCTCCTGTGTTACCAGCAACTATGTAATAGAATACAGTTTTATAATTCTACTTTGTGTCGTTACAAAATAACTGCTATTAGACCTGTTGTGCTACCATAAATAATGCAAAAATGGACAAAATGTGTCAGCTGTTTTCAGATATGGAATTAACAGGTGTTATGGGGTGGAAGTCATGGAAAGAATGATAATAAATGAAATGAGCTGCATGATTGCCTCAGTTTTCTGCCTGAGTGCATATTCCTGACTGTAGTTCTGGGAGAAGAACCCCAAAAGTAGTCTTTTCAAATTGTGGAGACAAAGATCAGAACTTGAGACTAATGACATTGCTAGAATTTTCAGAGCAGGGTATCAGAGAAAAAAATATCTATCTAAAAAATATCTATCTATCTAGAGGAGGTTCAGAAATGTGTATACAACTCACCTTGGACCTTTGGCCACAGACTAATCGGAACATGTACAAATGACACTCTGAGAGGCTGCATACATAATGACTCCCAAAAGACACGCAACTATTAGGGAGCCTTGAGCTAAACAACTGCTGCAGCTGGCACAGAGCAGATGTTGTAGTTCCAGGTAGCCAGTGTGGAGAGACTTTGTTTAATATGATAGGTAGCAAAGAGATCACGCTTTACTGGTGATCTAATTCTAGGTCTCAAAGCCTGCTCTCTATTGCAAATAATAAAGATATATTTTAAAAGCCTTGGAAAGGTAAAGGATATGTATAAATAAATTGTCAGATGAGACAAAATAAATGCTTCATTAAGGAAAGCAAGAACATATAAATAAGTGGTAATATAATATTTATAATGTCCAGTATGCCGTGAAAAATAAACATGCAGAAGCAATTAATGAGACCCATAACCAGAAGAAATACCAATCAATAATGAAAATGACAGAGGTGTCCGAATTAGTAGATGATTTCATAACATCTATATAAAATTAGTACAAATTTTAGAAGTAATTTTAAGGGCAATTTTGACTTGAAATTCTAGTTTCCAATATAAGATACAACTTTTCCAAGCCTCACACTAAATGAGTCCATAGTAGATATGATAAATCGAAGAATACCTGCATACATTCATACAAAAATACACATATTTGGCAGATAGGGGACCATAAGAACATTGTAAGTAGGAACAACATCAGAGTAGGGTATAGAGAGAAAATTGGCCTCTTCTGTAAGATGAGTTGTGTAGGAGGTAGTGTATTTGAAACGGTAAAAGATGAAATTTGAGAGTTATGAAGGAACCAGTTGTTATGGATTTTGAAACCAGATTGATGGGTTTGCATTGCCCCTAACCATAGTAGGTGTTCAAGATATGTCTTGATTTATCCAATTTTTATATGTGAAAAGTGTAGAAAATGATATACTGGGTAAGTGGGAACTGGTTGCGATTGCCACAGATTAGGAAGGGTAGTTGTTGTGTGTCTCTTTGTGTGCTTCACATGTTGAAATTGAAAGGACTATACAATTAAAGGCATCTGTCAGACAATGCCCTCTGGGTGAGCACAACACAGAGAAGAAAGGACTATTTTCTATAACTTCTGATGATTATTGCATCTAGGTAAATTAGTGGGATGGCTTAGAATCATCTATGCCAGGGATTAATCATTATCAACAATCAATGATTAAGAACCCTGCCTTGTAATTAGTGTCTTATCAACATTATTGTATTGTAATAACTTTGGGATACTGCTTATCTTTCAAATTTATTATAAAGGGTGCCAGCAGTTTTAATATTGATAGTGATTCAACTTTGAAGCACACTTTGTCTATTTTTCTATTTTTCTAGTAAACATTTATTTCAGGTTAGCTAAATAATATCTTAAGATTTTTAAGGTAGCAATTATAACTGCTTTTCTGTTAGAATCAGAATTTTATCTATATTATGCAATCAAAAGAAAAAGGAAAACATTACATGTTAGACTAATGTATAATAGCAATCATAATTTCAGAATTTTTGTTTTCAACTTTAAAAATCTAAACATTTCCTTTTTTTAAAAATGTTTTATTTATTTTTGAGATAGAGACAGCGTGAGCAGGGGAGGGTCAGAGAGAGTGGGAGATACAGAATCTGAAACAGGCTCCAGTTTCTGAGCTATTCCTGAGCACAGAGCCCGATGTGGGGCTTGAACCCACGAACCATGAGATCATGACCTGAGCTGAAGTCAGATGCTTAACCGACTGAGCCACCTAGGTGCCCCAAAAATCTAAACATTTTCAATTTTGTCATTGATTGAAATGATAAATAAATGTTATAGATGTTATCTTAAATACAAATTTATACTAACTAATGGCCATGTTTATATTTTTACTTATTGAGATGCTATGTAAGATTTTGCTTGGAAAAGAGTGTTTATTTGCTGATAACATTTAAAACCAGTATTTTGAATTACTGATCAAAAAGGAACCTGAAAAAAGAAAAGTAGCACTGTTAGAGAATTAGGAATTCTGTGAAGGTAAATCTGCTTGAAGAAAAGTAGAGTAGGATGCATTGACATTAAGCTACATTATATGTATTTACAAGTTATCTTTATTGATTTCCAAGGAAAATAAATATGGGTGGGGCCTCCAAAGAAGTAAAAAAGGAAAGAGAACACAAATAGCTATGTCTAAGTCTTGTAAACATCTCAAATTGAGAGAAATTGAGGAGAGATTGCATAGTGTGTATTGAAAAATTTACCTCATAAAAATCCAGTTTGAAATACACAGAGGTTTATTAATGCATTTGTATTCATGCTGTAGAACGAACATGGTTACTGCAATTATGGCTTGGTTAGAAAGCCGTAGTACAAATGTGCCGTTGCTACTCTTTCCATTCAGAAGTGGCCTCTCTTTATCTACCCCTTTGAATCTGGTCTTGGCTCTTGTTTTTTGAACAATGGAAAGTGACAGAAATGATGCTGGGCAACTTCTGAGACCTTGTAATCTCTTGTAATGTGGACATTTCTGGAATTCCAGCCTGGTCTAGTCTTCTGGATAATACAAGATACCTGGGAGAAGCCAAGATATTCTAGTGTTAAAGCTGAACACCAACCCCAACCAACTTATCAACCATATGCAGCACCCTGAAGCACAGGTGAAAACAGCACAGGAATCATCCAATCATAACAAAGATTGGTGAGAAATAACAAATCATTCTTGCTTTAGGCTGCTGAGTTCTGGAGCAGCTTCTTACACAGCAATGTGTAACTGACACGCTGGGTAAAACAGACTGTTTTTGTTGTTCATGGCACCATTTTTTAAAAAATTTTTTATGTTTATTTATTTTTGGGAGACTGAGAGACAGAGCAAAAGTTGGGGAGGGGCAGAGAGAAAGGGAGACACATAAACTGAAACAGGCTTCAGGCTCTGAGCTATCAGCCCAGAGCCTGACATGGTACCTGAACTCACGAGCCGTGAGATCATGACCTGAGCCTAAGTCGGATGCTTGACCAACGGACCAATCCCGGCACCCCTCAAATCACCTATTTTTAAATTCACTTGTGTCATTCTCGCAACTCTGTGGTTTGATGAAGAATGCACTATTGTTTAAGGTTTTCTAGGGTAGTTGAAAGTAGTAGAAATATCAACAAATATTTACTCCTTTTGTATGTAAAGGCATATTAATGATAGAAGGATCAACTAAATTTTCTAGAAGAAAGGATGCAAGGTTTAGACAGTTTAAAGTGACAGTTTGAAAAGGATTTGCTTTCTGGGTGACTAGAGTCAAGTTATTGCATCTCTTAAGACCTCCATTTTTTTAACTTGATTAAAAAGAATTTTAAGACAGATAATTCCCAAGTTTGTAAGCATATATGTGTGTATGTACATGTGTGTATTCTTGTTGTTGGTATTATTGTTGTTTATTTCTATGTTTATGGCCAATAAATTTCTTGGAATTTGTTGCCAATATTTTATTTATTTATTTAGCATACTATATAGCTGAATGTAAGCTATGAAGAAATTATTAAAGATATTGTCCCAGATGTTTTACTGGAAAATATCTTCAGTAATTGAAACAACTTTTATGGCAGGTTATCTATTTCAGTATTAAGTTATAATTTCATAAACATTCACATTAATATTAACAAGAATAAAATTTTAAATTAAACAATAAGTGAGACTAATGTATTTTCATGACTCTGAAAGCCACAAGCTAAAACCATGAATACTGAGTGAATAGTTGAAGGCTAAATAAATAAGGTATATCATCCATATGCATTTATCAAGTGATATATTCATGCAGTAAGAAGGCTCTGCCATGGACTTCTGGGTGTGGCATATTATTCATGGCTGACATGCTAATCAATCATCTTTTAACATTTGTTATAAGTCAAATAAGGAAGAAAAAGTACTTGCCAAAATACTTAAATTATCCAAATGTAAGCAGATTTGCTCACAAAGAGGTGACACCAGCAACCCTTAATATTGGCAATTTGAAAAATTATTTTATGTCAATCATAAGCTTTGGTTTTGCTCCTTGTGATTATTAAAATGTATCATGTGTAATTCCAGCTGTATGCAAAACATCACTTTCTCATTTACAGATGCTTGTGTAATATATGTCATACATTTAAAGTTTTTACACTATTTTGAATTTTCACTCTGAACTTTAGGAGATAAAGGGATTTAGAACAGTGAGTAATGGAATTGGATGAAGTTGGGATATATAATTATTGGTCTCCTTAAGCAACTTATGAATGGTTTATAAACTAATAAAAAAAGTAATTAAAGTAGGGTCAGTATATTTTATGATATTATGAGGTGTTTAAAGACACTGGGTATTTGAAAATTATAGTCAATGCTAAAGAATGAAGAATGAAAATACCTTTTTGAAACATATTTCCAAAGAATTTTTGTAAAAACCTTAGATTGATAGTACAGATAGTTAAATAAAAGTAGTTAGTCTCAGAGAAACTCAGTTTTCTTTATAAAAGTTTCTTGGCCCTGTTTTTTTTTAATTTTTTTTAT